GACAACAATTAAGTTAGTAATTTTTACAATAATGTGTGTCTAATTACATGTGTGCGTGTGAGTCAATGTGTGTGTCTGCGTCGATGTGTGTGTGTAAGTCGATGTGTGTATGTGAGTCGATGTCTGTGTGTAAGTCGATGTGTGTGCATGGGTTCATGTGTGTGTTTAAGTCCATGTGTTTGTGTCTTAGTCGATGTGTGGGTGTAAGTCCATATGTGTGTGTGTAGGTCGATGTGTGTGTGACTCTATGTATGTGTGTGTGAGTCGATGTGTGTGTGTAATTCTACGTGTGTGTGTGTGAGTCGATGTGTTTGTGTAACTCCATGTGTGTGTATCTAAAGTCGATGTCTGTGTGCTACTCCATGTGCGTGTGTGTAAGTAGATGTCTGTGTGTTTGATTCCATGTATGTGTGTGGAAGTCGATGTGTTTGTGTGTGTGGGTCGATGTCTGTGTGTGTGTAAGTCGATGTGTGTGTGTCTTTTTTGCCCGGGCAACGCCGGGTACTTCCCGCTAGTACATTATGTAGTGACATAAGGGAGGGGCTGCTGGGGGCTCTGGGTCCCTGGGAGGGCCAGGCGCTTAATCCCCTTGGTGCCAGGCGTGGGTTCTCAGGCGGGTCAGACGCTTAAGCCTCTTGGCGTTAGGCGTTGAGTTCCCAGGCACTTAATCCCCTTGGCGCCGCCAAAGGGGGGGGCTGTGTGTGCTCTGTGGGATATCTGGGGGCGCACACGGCCCCACTCCTCGTTGGGGACTGGGCATATAAGCGGAGCTTCCTGGACGATCAGGGCCAGTTGTAACTCAAGACCCAAGACCCACGACCAGCCATCTGAAGACCCTGGGATGCTGTGAGAGCCAGCGCTGGGACTCTGGAACTCCCGACTCTACGACCTTGTGAGGGCGAGTTCCGGAGCGTAGCCAGAGTAGAGTATCTAGGCTGTGTAGCTAGGCTGTGTACCTAGGCTGTAACAGAGTATCAGGACTGTTGGAGAGTTGGACTGTTGGAGTGTTGTATTGTAATAAAGAAGTTACCTCTACAAGTGTCTCCGGAACCCGTTACAATTATATAACGTGGCTAAATTGGTGCAAAGCAATACTATAATTAGCATTGGCAGAAGCCCTACCACCTGCTGTAGAATATTCACCACAAGTGTGCACGAGCGATTGCGTATTTGTATACAACGCAATTTTCTCGGATCTGTTTGTCCACATGTGTAAGAACGCACTCGGTTTACAGCGTCATGCTGAGGTGTGGCTGCGCATGGACGCTTTGCGAATTCCACTTCACACTGGGCATATGTGTGTAGTGACTGTGCTTGTCACTGTATGGTGCCGGGGCTTACGAAGCCACGGCGGGTAAGGTGTTGTCATTATGGGCAGCCCGGGTTATGGGATGTAGTACCAGCCCTAACGGGGCTTGTGTGAGTGCTGGTTAGCGCGGAGGCACCACGAGCAGTGTGCGGTGCGGGCTCCCGGTGAGGGAGCGAGAGGGAGCGTCTGCCAGCCAGGGTCTCCTTGTGGGCATGATACTCTGGTTGACCTGCTGTCACGTGAACGGATGACATTTGAGGGAAGCCACCGGTGGACGGGGGCCGTGGGGCAGTCACGTGGTCCAAAGGAGCTCTCGGGAATCTTCGAGAAGGAGTTCGAGAGACCTGGAAGGTGGGCGGGGCGAAGGGCGGAGCCAGCCCCAGTCCAGGGGCATATAACGAGGACCCCGTGAGGAGCTCGAGGTTCTTCGTGTGCTGATGTTCCAAGATCCACGTCGGGGAGAAGACGCCTCTAGCCACACGTTCCGGGACCCAGCTTGTGGTCCGGACCGGGATAGCGAACCATGTCTAGTTCTGCCGTAGCGTGGTTAGATCGGCATTCGAGACCCGAGTGTAGATTGTGCTTTGTTACGTACTGTTGTGTAAATAAATAGTGTTGCTCCTAAGATAACGTATGTGACTCAGTTGGACTCACTCCAGGTGTATACTGTGTATGCTCTGTTGCGGAGCGCCATGTCATTGGTCACCTCCGTTCTGTCTCCACATACAAATAAAACTAATTTTTAGTCCGTAGGTTCGCTTTTCACACCAATATTATTCAGCATTATTCTTCATGGAGAACAATAACGGAGTGGCAGCCAAGGAATAGAACGCGTCCCAGAGTAAGGCCACCGATGAGATGGAACGACCGAATCAGCGCGTGCCCAGGTGTTACGTGGATTGTTGCATCGCAGAATGGATTTGGGAGGCATTCATCCAGCAGTGGATAGTCCATGGTTGATAATATACAATGCTTATTCAGCATTATCTGTTTAAGCAAGATAATCCTGGCCCAGATTTCAAAATTATAGGCGATCCAAGTTCGATTCCCGCTCACGTCCAACACAAGTGACGAATATCTGAACCAGTCTTGGGCCTCCCCTAGGTCTACTCAGACTCAAACGAGTATCTAGTACGATGTCTAAACATCGCCACTCGGGAGACAAAGGCGGCCGGGCGTGGTGCTGGCCACCCACCCCCCTCGCGTGCCGTGCCAGCACTTGGCCCAAAAATCGGTTAAGGCTATACGGGGGATCTTTGCTTTTTCAAAGGATGGGGGCGATGCCGCACAGCGCACAACTCGAGTGAGTTATCTTGGCCACGAAACCCAAGACCGATCTAATCCCCACTCATTTCCTTCAGCATCGCGGTCAAGCCAAGAAGATGACGGCTGTGCCGGCTCCCCTCGCGAGCGCAGGCAAACGGGAGGCGTGCGCGGGGGGCAGCCAGCCCTTCCGCCGAAATTATTCCGCGTAAATCTCATAATAGGTTGTCCAGGCTCACTCATGCATATAATCACAACGCCGTGCGCTGCAATTACATGCCCATATTAATGCTCAAGCTGTTGGTTGTGTAATAGCCGGCTTGTTTTGAACGAATAAATAAGGCGAGAGGATAAATTATTATGAAAGCATGTAGAAAATCTCATCGTATGATTTACGCGTTAGGATAAAAGTAACTTGGCTGATAGTATATATAACGCAGAAAGACAAAGATCACCCGTATAGTCATAACATAATTTCGGGGCAAGTGCTGTTAGAGAGCACCTATGAAGGCCGGCACGCCACAAGACTGTGTGGATGGCCAGCACCACGTCCGGCCGCCTTTGTCTCCCCAGCGGCTATGTATATACATCGCACGAGGTAATCCTTTTGGCTGAGTCGACATTGGGAGGACCCAAAACAGGTTCAGACAATTGTCTCTGGTGTCTGACCGTGAGCGAGAATCGAACTCGTGTCGCCGGGTCCGTAGTCCAGTGCGCTAAACCACTACGCCATCGCTCGCCACTGGCAGTATAACGCACACGCGCGCACAATGAACGATGCTTAGCGGTAGTTACGCGCACGATTGCAGACATGATGATACCGGAGTCTCAGTACAGCAGAGCATGTACATAATCACACACTCACACACTGATTTACAGACACAGTTACACACAAGACAGAGACACACACTCGGGCACGCAAAGACAAAAAAAAGATGCACATATAAAATGATACAAATACAGAGACACCCACACATCGACACGCGTTCATACATACAAGACACCAAGGCCGTAGCCATGGAGTCAACATTGGGGGGGACCAAATCTTCCAGGGGGTCTAGGGGTCCCCCCCCCCCCCAGAAAAAAATCTAAATTTGAAAACTAATTTCCTGCCTAAAATATAAAAAAATCACTAACACATAGGATGGACTTTTTTTTACAATAATGTCTTAATAGTGTATTGTATTACATTGCTCTGTTTTTTCTTTTTTACCTTTTCTTGTTTCATTGTATGTAATGGCAGAGATTAGGGGTTAATAAAGTACAACCATAGCCACAATCATATAAACATAAATCTATGCATTGTTATATGAAGACAAGTCCAGATATTGTGGCCAAGGTTTAGCAAATTGTTGTTTTTATTTACAAAGCATAGCAATTATTTTTTTTTATATTGTTTATAGCAATATATTGGGGGGGGGGACATTTTGAACATATTTGAATATTGGGGGGGGGGGATCTGTCCCCCCCCCAATATATAGTATAATTACGGCCTTGAGACACACACACACATACAAAGACATAAATGTACAAAGACACATACAGCAAGTAAACTCCAGTGCATTTGTTTAACTAGGCGAGAACTCAAGAGACCAGGGTAGTGAGAGGCATTGGCAAATGACCTGGGAGTGACATACAAAAAATCCCCCGTATAGCCTTAACATACTTTTGGGACAAGTGCTGTTAGCGAGCACCTTTGAAGGCCCGTACGGTACACAAGGGAGTGGGGTGGCCAGCACCCACACCCGACCGCCGTTGTCTCTCCAGTGGCTATGTTTACACACCGCACCAGGTACTCGTTTGAGGCTGAGTCGACATAGGGGAGGCCCAGGACCGGTTCAGATGACTGTCACTGTTGGTCGCGCAGCGCGTTAACAGCTACACTGCTGCTCCTCGTACACACAGACACGTGCACAGACGGCGAGATAAAAACGTCGCTCAATTCTTCTCGAAACCAGCGCAGCGCAATAACAATGCAGCACGTGTAGTCAGGGACGGCAATACGGTTATACGGGGACGGGGGCACGCAATCATCCAGACGGGAGTAGCGGGACACAGGAGTTACGGGTGTGCATGGAAACACGAAGGGGGGCACAGTCACAGGGGTTAGCGGAGAGACGTACACAGATAGGTACGAGAGTAGGCTTGGGTCCACGCGTTAAGGGCGTATCAACAAGTGCAAGCGAGCGAGCGAGCAAAGGAACCATGGATTCAGTGCTCTTTAATCGATCACACCTCGCTGTCCGCGCACACACGTACATACACACAGCATACACTCACCACGGACGTAGACACACACACATACACGGGCAGGTCGATGTGATGCGCATCGCTGCATCATCACCACCACGCCGCGTGGCGACCCGACCATCGCAGGGTCGCGCGCACGCACGCGCGCGCACGCTCTTCGCCGTGACGGCTACCTTACCTTGGCAGCGCACCGCGGCGATCCTGGAGTACACGAGGAGGAAGACGGCGATCATTCCAGGGTAGGCGCCCATCGCCGGAGCCGTGAATACATGATGGATGTGCCGGCCCCGCAACAAACTTCCCCCCCCCCCCCCCCAAGAGCGAACGTCAGAGTCGGGAAGGAGGAGGAGTAGGAGAAGAAGGAGGAGGCTGTGGCGGAGAGAGGAGGGGAGGAAGGAGGGGAGGATCGAGGAGGCTGGGCTGCATCGATTCTCAGTTCCCGTCTTTCCATCCGCCTTGCAACTGTTTGCAAGAAGCGCCGCTTGCATAGCACGTGCAGTACGCTCTTTAAACTATACTCCGTGATTCGTTTTAGCCGGATCGGTCCGGAACGCTGTTCTGGGAATTATTTCAGCCACTCCACAATAATCTCGCCCAATTAGATCCTAGACCTGTTTCTATGATTGTAGGAATATGGGGTACAATAATATAGGGTTACTATAGATGAGTGAACCTTGTACTCGAGTGAAAGTACCTTACGCCGATAATCCCTACTCCAAGCCAGACTAGGAGCATTACAAAACATATCTAGTGAGAATCGAAGCCCCGTGTATACTTTATGTCTGCAAAGCACATGCAGTATACAGACACCGTAAAGTGGGTAGAGTGGATAGTATTTACAGGGGGTGTGAGCCCTCGTTAGTTGACTTGGCGTAACGTAATCCCATTGCTGTAACCGTGCATGCGTCTATCCATGTATGTTACATGTAGAACCACGAACGCTGCATGACTTTGTAGTCCTGTGTATTATACCGTGTGTGTACGTTCCAATGGAGGCTTTTATTCAGCAGTGGATGATTGACCATGCCTGATGATGATGATTAATGGGGGTGATGTCATATGGTGTATGGAATGTGCGCGGGTTGTATTACAGTATCTATGATTCATCATCGATGTATGTTTTTGGTCATCGCGTGAGTACAATGCAATGTGTGTCGTACACCCTCATCCACCCGCACAGTCAAATACATAGACTTGTCACGTGAACAAACAGACCAATTTATTATTGCTACAGCACACCGATATGTTCAAGATCAATTCACAACAAATAACAATTAAGTTCGACGTGTCTCGCTGTTAAAGTTGCAGTATCTCTCAGATACTGACATAAATGTTATGACTGCTTACATCTCATGCGCTCATTTCCGTCTCAATGAACCGGGGAAGATATATGTATGTTGTACTTCTTTCGCACCGTATGTGGTTATCGGAGGTGCCATGTTAACCGTTTCGTTTTAATGAGCAGTTGATTCAGCATATAAAGATGTTCACCAACATTAAATCAGCGCGCTTCACAGGTGAATAAATGCACGAGATAACGATCCAAACTCTCATTCATTCATGCGCTTCATTGATAAAAAAAAAGAATCTGCAGGTGAGAGCGCGCATTGAGACAAACCAGCTCCGGTTCAACAAAAGAGACCTGGGGACAAAGAAAGCAACACAGTACACGCCGACTCCACATCCTCCCCCTCCCATTCAACGACGGGAAGTGCACATCGTCAGCAACAGTCATTGTCAATCCACTGCTGCATGAATGCCCCTCTCCCAAGCCATCTTATGTCATCTCTCAACTTCCTGTGATGTAACAATCCATCTAGTTCCTGGACGCGAGCTGTGTGTTATCCACCGATCGCTGACCACTGCACGTGTACGTATCTCTCTTGAAAGGGAATTTTTTTTGGTCTCAACTTGGCGTTGTATTCATGTTTAGCAGTGGTCTTCGATGCAAGGCCTGCGGGCCACTGATGGCCTTTAGTGCGGCTCCTGACGTGTGGTCCCCGACAATACACAATATGTGAAAACACCCCCTCAGTGCCGGATTAAGCTAGTGCGGGGCCTGTAGTATATGCTATAAAGGGGCTCTAAATAAAAAAAACACGTAAATATTTAAAGACATAAATGTTTAACTTGCATTGTAAAGTGATTGTATTATTTAATTTGCTATACAGCCAGATAATACAACAAATCGCTAACCTTAAACACCCAGTCGTTAATAAAAGTTGAAGGCAGTATAGTACTATAATAATAGAGCAAGTGCAGAATCACTGAACCAGAATTGATAGCTTGAAAGCATTTAGCGCGGTGCCCTTGAAAGTGCGGGGCCCGTAGCATATGCTACTTTTGTCACTAAAATAATCCGGCACTGCCCCCCCCCCCCCATCAGCATCATGCTGTCAAATCCCAATGGTTTGAAATGTGTGGCGGCCCTCAGACTGATGATGTCTTATCAGCGAAAGTGGCCCCCCTCTGTAAATTAGTGAAGAACACCGATGTTAAGTATAGTGAAATCTATACGTGTACAGAAATACATGCATTTGCGTATTGTGCATTAATAGTTACAAATTAAATCATTCCCACTAATTTGTAAATCCAATATTGCATGGGTGTGATTGCTTGACCATATTTCACTACGCTGGTCAGTGCCAGGTTGGGGAACGAGGATGCCCAGGAAGCGGCTCAGACTTCACTCGTCGCCACTAATGTTGGCCGCGTCCGGGAATCAAACTCGGGTAGAGAGGTTCATAGCGAACCCACTGCGTCACTGCACCACCCCCGTATTATCACTTGTCGACTGTTCAATGGATTTGCAATCAACATTTGTCATCGCACGCGGTAGTTCTGCTTCACGAAGCGTTCTCTCTCATCACATTTCGAATCCGAATAGCTCTTCTCAGTGGGATAAATTATACAATTGAGAGCTCTTACAGTAAGTCTCGCACAAATCAGAGCACCCGAATAACATGTTATTATAAATCCCAATAAACGACACAATAGTTCAATAAGCGTCACGTCACGCGATGAATTACGTTCAGAACTGTATCTTCAGAAGTAGTTATTTATCATCAGCTCCTTAGTTTGCGAGCGGTCTGTGCTAAATAATATCACAAAACTGCTTTTGAGATCCCTTCAATTGCCTCTATTATCCACACTAGATGTCTTGGCCTCGCTGTGCGCTGCTTTGCACCACTATCCGAGTAGTTAACCTCGCATTCAATAAACCTTCAGAGCCAGGTTGAACATCCGACTCCAAAGTATTTAATGAATAGAATGAGGTAAAACTGATGAAAAAACACAGCACGAAATACAGCATCTGTTAATAATTGCAATAGCAATACAATGAACACCTTAGCATCATAACATTGTCTCAGATAACATGAATCTCAACAATAGGTCCTGGATGGACCAGGCACCTGCATTAGCACTGAATAGCTATACAAGATAATAAGCTAATGTGTTAAATAAGGTCACTTTGTGTAATCACCATACTGCAGCCTAAATGTACAGTGCTGCTCAAGAATGCATTAAAGTTACATGGGCACAAGTCTGGCTCGACTTATCCAACTACAAGTAACATTCACAATAATGCAAGTGGCAGGCTTCGTTGTTAACTAGGCCTCATATTTGTCATAACAATTTAAAAACATAAAGGCATTGACAGCATAATAATGGCAATCCTAACATTATAACAACATTCCCAGTATTATAAGAACATAAACGAACATACAGACAATGCTTCTTAAAGTCCCACAATGAACCGATGCACCTGTCTTATCTGAGACACTATTTGTGCCTCCATTTTGTACTCTGTGGGATGGCTGAAACGCCTACCTCGTGGCTTAGAGAACCTTAAATCATAACTTCCTGGCCACGTGACCAAACTCAACACCATATCAGAAAGTTCCTGTGTAAACACACCCCCACATCTGCCGTGAGGCAGAACACTAGAACTGGGATAAACCGACTTCAATGTAACCATATACATTTTACATGTCGCTAATATATGTCGTGCTGTCATAGGTGACCTGTCTGAGACTATCAACTCGCTCTACACGAGAACCACGCAAGAATGACAAGTGCATGAACCCCATGGAGTCTGCTTCGCCACGGGTCGATGGAACCCGGATTCGAACCCCTTTCCCTTAGTGATGCCGGTTCAGAGTTCTGAGCCGCACATACAAACGGTTCTCGTTTAGACCGATCCTGCACGCGTGGCCAGGCAGGTTGCCTCCTGGCGGCATTGATGCGAACCGAGTGCTAAAACAAAAAGCGGCCAATTATATTACCTTACGTCTTATCCCTTGCAAACAGACAACCAGCCACTATTACTACCCCTACCTCTAACGTTAACCAACTAACCAATCAGCCACCACTAGTACGAGCTCTACACTAAACCAGAACCAACTAGCCAATCATCCCACTAATGTCTTGTAATCCTAACCACCATGGTGGCGAGATGTTAACTACCTCGCCTGGTATGGAAAAGGTCGTGGGCTCGATCCTGACCCTGATGCCTGTATATGTGGAATTAGCTTATTCTCCCAAGTCGAGTCTAAAAAAGCTCAGTGGGCCTTACCTGGTAAAATATAAATATTCTTTGGATCTTTCAGTAAAGCCACGTAGATAAAAAGAAAAAATAGATTTTTTTTCTACTTGACTTTACCGAAAGATCCAAAGAATATGAATTCCTGCAGTCATCAAAGTTTTAAGTAAAAAAATAAAAATAATTTATAGTTTATAAAAAATATAAAGTTTATAGTTTAATTAATACAAAGCCCTATAGTATTATCCCTCTGATGCCCTGTAACCCTAACCAATTAACACTCGCCCTGTCACCGCCTCAACCCCCACCTCTAACCCCAATCCTGCCCCTTCACTCCGCGCACCTATTATTTTATTAGTTTTTTTATCCGCGTTTCTATTTAGATATTCGCTATGCCGTGCGCGCCTCGGAAGGGGGGGGGAGATTGTGTTCGGTGCAGGAGCGCAGCGCCACCCCACGCGGCCGCTCGGGATCGCAACTCAACTCAGCCCGGCGCATCACATTGCGTCGAGGCATTGCAGACGCTGCCCGTGGTACTTGCCCAAGAAGACATAAACAAAACAACTCAACGCAATCGTCAATAACACCGCCGTAAAAAAGAGTGAACGGTGTATAACAGGCGACGTTTCGGACAATGGCCCTTCTTGGCTCAGGCTGGCGAAGTGGGCGAGTTTATTTCATTGATTCAAGCATTTTATTAATTATTCATTCATTAATGAGCTAAATCGAATCCGTACATAGACAGATTATGTGGTGGTGTGGCCCAGGTCACTCTTGCAAATAGAACCAGGTATGGTGGCCTCTGGTGTTCTCACCTGGTTAACAGCGTGAACTTGACGCGGCACCGGTCATATTAGCGACATGCAGTCAGGGTTAGTGGATCACGCAGAGATTGATCACATTCGTAAGCCCCTAACGTGAGTAAGCCCCTAACGTGCGGCACAAGGAGGACAGCCACTGGCAAGGCAGAGCTGGTTGTACACGTGGATTTCTGTCTCGGGCAATCACAGACACAATCCCCAGGCTCCCCTCCACGCTCGCCTGTACACCATTCGAGACCACGAATCGAGGTCATTATTCTGGGTCGGGCGTCGCGATGGAATTCAAACATCAAGTACAATTACCATCCTGGCGCGGATAGACTTTGTTGCCGCTTTTGTATCGCGGGTGTCGTAGGGATTACGTAAACCAATTACCTACAAATCGAAAATAATTTATTCTTAAACGCGCAATTGCATGTATAGTGTTCAAATATTGACGAATAAACTTCTTTATGGGGCACACTATATTTATTGTCTTTCTTTGCGTCACGGTCCCTAACACACAAGGGGTATGACGGTCCTCCTTACCCGATACCTAGGGAGGTATGGCCTCTGGACTCAGAGGGACCTATCACTGGTGACCCGCTAGCCTAACGTCCTCAGACTGGGACCTAGGGGAGGCTAATTGACCCGACCACTCGGTCTGTGGGTCTGGACCACTGGTTTCACTGAGCCCCAGCCCTTAGAAGGGCTGTAGAGCTTGGATCCAGGGTCCTGTCTATCTGGGACCTATTCTCCCCCTGACCACTGGCCTCACTGAGCTCTACAGCCCTTAGAAGGGCTGTAGAGCTTGGATCCAGGGTCCTGTCTATCTGGGACCTATTCTCCCCCTGACCACTGGCCTCACTGAGCTCTACAGCCCTTAGAAGGGCTGTAGAGCTGGGGATCCAGGGTCCTATCTTCAGCCCGGGCTTCAGTCTTCGTGTGGAGATAACTGGGCCAGAGCTCTCAGCGCTCTGGCTTTTATACCGGTTCGTGGCTGGCTTCGCCCAAGCCACGCCCCCTTTCTGGAACCTTCTGGTTTATCCTGGGAGGTGACATCATCCCCTCAGGATCCGTCATTTGGATCCGCTCTCACCTCTATTTGACCCCGGGTATTTCCTCAGTAGGATCTGTCGTTTGGATCCGCTCTCACCTCTGTTTAACCCATGGCTTTTCCCCAGTAAGGTAACACTGCTGAAACCCTGTTGACACCCAGTGGTACTGCAGGTTACTGAATGGTGAGTGGCGATCACCTCTACACATGCATATATCTTGTGCCGATCTAGAGTATACTGCCGGATATCGCTGTAGATGGGAGCCCTTCACTCATCTAAAGTTTGTGAGTCCAAATCCCGATCGTGAGGTCGACTCAGCAATTAGTCTGTCCCTCTAGAGTTGGCAACATTAAACAACTCTGAGGAATTTCCACCTCACGGCCATAAAAGTACGGTATTGCTCATTAGACACGTCCACCCTTGGCTCCAGACACTTCCCAGACGTATTCATATCCAGAAAATTTTTGCTCAATATCGCAAGTAACTCAACATTATCTTATGAGCTTGGGGTCGCATCTTACTTGGGCAAGTTAAACATTAGTCCGGAAGGCCTTCGGGCTGATTGACTGAAGGGACGAAAAACATTTCATTGTTTTCTTTGGAGACACCGACTTTAGTTTATTTATTTGTTTTACGCAATCAACGGGTTAGCTTGCCCGCCGCATGTGCAGTATCGTGTCTCACGCTCCTGACCGACAGTTCCAGCTGCTGTTATCACAGCTGCTGTCAGATGAAATCACCTCGAGAGCAGCTGGGATTTGTTAGACACGTTACGCGACGCAATACTGTGTGTAACATTGAAAGGATAACGCTAATGATAATACTGTATAAATTTACAGCTCGATAAAGGACTCCCACACTGATCTGGCAGTGAGGGTCCTTTGACCATACTTCACCACGCTGGTCTTTTTGAGTTGGTTATAATCGGTCTTAGGGGGGCGTGTGGGCATGCAGAACCGACTGAGATATCACTCGTGGCTGGGAATGGAACTCAGGGTTCGTCGCGTTGCGCACTAACCAATGCACTTCCCCGCCCCCTCCAAAAAATAACCATATAATACCATGACAATTATTTACACTGAAACACCTCACTCACTGCTTGTTCAGGAGGGTCCTGTGTATCAGAGGGGAACGAGCGAGAGAGACTCTGCGGTGATCACACCCCTTCGTCCACTCCAGTCAGGTGCGGTGGGGATCGCGCGCAGCGATGGAAATAAATGAGCACAGCAAAAAGCCTGCAGGAGACAGCTTGGCGAACATGATGCGGACATCAGCTGTGGAGCAGTGGCGTAGATATCAAGTGTGCAGACCGCACTACTGCATCGAGGCGCACGGGCCGGAGAGGGCCAGGCCTTATGGGGGGAGAGGAATTGAAAAGGACAGGAGGTCCCATTTCATTCCTGGCACCGGGAAGTCCATGGCAACCCGCTAAGGCACTTATGTGGCGTGTGAGTGGGGTTTATTCCAGGAACTCCGGTCTACAAACCCAGACTACAACAAAACACTCCATTGCCATTCGAGTGTTTCCAGCCACATGCACTCTCTGTAGTTTAGTGTGAGCCAGACTTGTGATCATCTCTTGCGAATGAGCCCAGGTGCATGGTAATAATGTGGTAATCATATGGAGAAGCTAAGGGAGTGAGCGGCACTTCATCTGACTTGCTCTTCCGGCACCCTGCCTAAAGAGTGAGGGGCAGCTGCCACTTCTATCCCTATTGCTCCCACGCCCGACTTGTGTGGCCACGTAGATCGTAAACTTCGTCAGAATTTGGAAATGTTTTTTTAGAAACCTGTGAGCAATTCACTGGAATGCGACTGAAGTTTAGCCTGGATAGTGCTTGAATTGGTGATCACCATATAAAAAACCGATCTTATAGGCTGCCGTAGGGTTACATTGTGGGCAGCAGTTGGCAGTCCCAAAAGTTACTTGTACTATATTATATGCGCCCACGTTTATGCTCCCGGCCTTGACATATCCATATTAAGCAGTGTATGGTTTAGATCATCACTGCAACATGCACGGCGTGGGGAGGCCCTCGTCCAGCAGTGTATTGGCAATAGAGCCTGTACACAGTGTGCATTGTCGATGTACATACCCCTCTGGAGGGGACTCTCCAGAGCTCTCTCTCGGGCAGACCTTTCCACCAGCAGTGGCGTGTGCAAGAAATTGCAGGACAACACCTTTACCTTTTACGTTGTCAACTAAAGTTTATCCCTCCTGAAACATGTAACACGTCTGACACATTCAACAGTGACGTGCACTGACTTATCGTGGGAGGAGTCGTTCGATATATGTATTCAATACCAGACGCATTCTTGTGCAAGTTACAAAAGATGAAACTTTCACACATCGTTAACAGCTGGGCGCGCAGATAAGCCAACGCATGGCGGTTATCCAAGCGAGCAAAGCATGGCAACTCTGCGGTTGATACATCAGCCAGACAACGGCTCTCTTTGCGAGCTGAGTTCAAATCCACGACGCTAAACCGGGGAAAACAATGGGCGAGCATCACCCTACGCAGCGCTATAATTATACATATCCATTGGTGTTAGATACAAGGTGGTTTTTTTTTTGTGCTGCCTTGTTTTGGCGTTGACGCTATCCGGGAAAGCACCGGTGCCTCTACTACTATGATGATGATCATCATCATAGTCGTAGAGGCACCGGTGATGATGATCATCATCATCATCATCAGCCGTGGTCTATCCACGGCTGGATGAATGCCTCTCCCAACTGCCGCCACCCCTTTATGATCCTGCGATGAAACAATCCATCTAGCACCTGCACACGCGCTGATTTCAACGTTCCATCTCCGTAGGAGTCCGACGGCCTCTCAATCGCGTTCCCTCCTTCTGTCGACGTGTCCGGCCAAAGCCCACTTGTTTTCCTAAAAGTAAAACGTATATACGCAATCCATGTGCTCTTATTCTTAATTCCAAAAAGGTCAGGCGCAACTTACAAAAAGAGATGACACCTTAGCAATGCGTAATGCGGCAGTACGTACAGATAACTCCATAGTTGTACTATACTGCTATGCTCCCACATTTATGCTCCCCGCCTTCACCAACCCTCACTAGTCGACGTGGTGAAATATGTTAGAATAATCCCCACGACCCGTGCGTGGCTTGGGGAAGGCCCCTTAATCCAGCAGCGAATTGACAAAAACACTCCCGTACACAGGCATAGACATCGCAACTTCAGTTTATGACCTGATGGCCGATTTTGAAATCTCTGATCTGAACGTCGCTCACTTGAGCCGTACCCTAATGTGCATCCAAGGAATTTTTTATTAAAAAAAAACTGTCTGTCCTGCAGCTAAAGCAGTTTTACGCCCCAGCTACCCCCCCGCCTACCCCCCACAAATGCGCACATTGCAACTTTGTTAGCCACGAAAAAAAAACGCAACCATTCTCATCGGCCCCGCTTTCAGATGGACGCGCATATTCATCAAAGCCCTGATGCACGCAGTTCTCCGTAATCGCGTTGTCATCCTGTTACAAATGCGACGACGTGAAGTTACACGTGAAATGTGCTGCCCTTGGAAAATCGAAGCCTACAAAAGGCGAGGGATGCGATTGCAGCACCACAGTCTGCGTTGAACTCGTAAGGAACATACCACGGTGAGTGTTATGTAATTACCGTTCATCAACCATCGTTATGTTTCTGGCCATTGTGTTTCTAACACTGGGACGTAAGGCGGAGCTTCGGGTGTGTGTAGCATAGTGTGTGGGGAGCGGTATTGTAGCGGTTAGCGCGCTGCGCTCCGAACCTGGCGACCCAGGTTCGCCTATCGCTCACGGCCAACACCAGTGACGATTATCTGAACCGGTCCTGGTTGATTCAGCCTCAAATGAGTACCTGGTACGGAGTGTTAATATCGCCACTGGGGAGACAAAGGCGGTCGGGTGTGATACTCGCCATCCACCGCTTTGTGCGCCATTATGGTACGCATAAGTGCTCGCTAAAATGCATTTGCCCCAACAGTTTGTTAAGGCTATATGGGGGTTTTTGTCTTTGGAGCGGTAGCGTGGTGGTTAGCGAAGTGCGCTGTGAACCTGGCTTAACTGGCCACTCGAGTTCGATTCCTGCCCCCGGCTAACACAAATTGAAAATAATATCAGATTCGGTACTGAACCCTGTTGTGAGCTAGACTCAGCCGTAAATGACTACCCGGCGCAGTGTGTGAACATCAGCATACTGTTGCTGGATGAGGTTAGTTCACCGTGCTGGTCAGTGCGGGTGGGTGAAGACGACTGAATGACTAAAAATCTAATTATGTTTTGGAAGGGTGTAAAAGTTGAAACGTGGCACACATTAATTCCACGCTTAAATTAGAAACATTCCTAAAACCTAATATTTCGAAAAATGAAGGTTCGGAGGTTGATTGTTTTCACAAAAAGACAAAGTCAGATTTACGTTCTAAATAGCGTTAACTCTCGTGTTAAAACACCACCCTCATCGTCCATGAAGCAGATAATTCCACTCTTCTTTCGTGGAGTGTGACGCTACAACAGATAGAAAGTCGGGAAAGCTCACTTCCTAGCATCGATTGCCTACATGGATTGTTGGGGCAAGTGCTGTTTGCGAGCAGTTAATTTAAGGCTGATTCGACCTAGGGGGAAGCTCAGGACCGGTTCAGATATTAACAACTGATGTTAGCCATGAGCTGCCCACGGTTACTCGTATCAGACACTGGCACAAAGACAAATATCCCCTGTATAGCCTTCACAGACTGAAGGCCAGAACGGCACAAGATTGGTTGATGGCCAGCACCACGACCTAGGGGAGACCAGTTAAGATAAGCGTCACTGTTGGCCGTGAGTGGCAATCAAATTCGGGTTGCCAGGTTTCTTAGCGCTAACCGCTACACTACCGCTCCCCACTGGCACACTCACGTGATATCTCAGATATTAACTCTGTGAATTCCACTTCTGTGGGCCGTTCTCAACCGTTGTAAGTCGCTGTCACAGCCTCGAAAATTGTAACTGTTCTGGTTCTGCCCCACCTCTCCCAGTCATGTCAAGCCAGACCAGTGCTGTGGGGGCCCTGCTGCCCGGTGGTCAGTTCAAGCTCACACTGTGGGAGCAGGAGAACTTCCAGGGCAAGCGATGCGAGCTCACGACCGAGTGCCCCGGGGTGACTGAGCGCCCCATCGAGCACGTGCGCTCCATCAAGGTGGAGTGCGGAGCGTACGTATCACACCCATCACCGCCCCGCCGCTCACTTGGGCACATCGTGCTATCAGTGTTATTTTGCTACTACGATTATTTACCCCGCAAAAAACTCACAGAGTCGCGCGATCTCCGCACCTACGATTAGCACTGGTGGCTACGTACGGTGTAAAAGAAGTTCAACAACCATACATAACAGCTGAGCTGTTTTTAGCACCTGAAAATGCTGAATGTAATCTCCAGCGGAAACGCCACGCTAAATTGTCAACATTTTGTATTGCTTTTCAACATTTCTCGAAATTGATGAGAAAACATTTTTTTGGCAAACTGTATTTGCCCACGTGGCAACTGGATTCGATTGGCCCTGTCGAGTGGAGGAGGGTTATAGTTCAAGATTGACATGACACCTACTACACGATCTAACCCGAAGGCACTAATTATAAATCCTGCCAAGTTGTCGCAGTTGGGGGGGGGGGAGCAATGATTGTCATCTATAATCCCAATTGAGTAATTTGCGGGCAACTATTTGGGCAAATTTGGCCAAGATACCAGCATGGCTGAGAGCAACGGTTTCTTTCTCAAGGGAACCCCGAGCCACAAAGTCATATGGTAAATAAAACACATTCTTTGGTGATACAGTAAATATGTAAACGTCTAATATCACAAATTTACAAACCCTTGTAAATCCACTTCTGGATGACGGCCTCCCCATGCCGTTTTGGTTCAGGTATGACTTTTGATGTCTGTGTTTCCCCTGACCAGGAATTGAAGTAAAGTCACATGGTTAGGAATTTGAATGGAGCTTTAGAGAGGAGTGGGATTTTTAGTTTTCAATATACCTATGTATTAAAAATGTGTTGAAAGCATTTTATGAGGGAACTCGATGTTTTTAAAGAGGCGCTTAAACCCTATGTAAATACATGTGTTGAACCGCCATCCAAATACCTCAAAGTGAGGGCTATTTGAAGTGAGCTGAGGGTGCCGCATCTGTTATGCACCTTCTAAGATGTATGGACATGACATTAAACAGCGCCTCCCGTTCAAACCAATTCCCAATTGACTTCGTCACAAAGCATGGAAAACACTAGTGCTATGCGATAAACAAATCCCAGGTGTGCGTGTATACATATATTGAGATTGACCCGGCTACTTGAGTTAGTTCAATTGCTGCCCACGGCTAATATGAGTGGTTGGTGAGTGATATCTGAACCTACCCTAGGTTTACCCCCCTCAGCAACCCGTATTGACCAACATGGTGAAGCATGGTCAAACAAACCCCATTACTGACACGGAATGGATAGGCTTTCATCCAGCCGTGGATGAAAAATGACACGACGATGTGAACAGCCATTGCCCTAAACGTCGCCTATTATATATATAGTGTTTACCTTTAAGGCAATGTTATTGACGAATGTGTTGAGATTTAATGGCAAGGGGGCTGGCCACGTGCGCCGAGAGTCGAGGAATGTGACCGTTATGATGCTGAGCAAGATGAGACAACTAACACACAAACCTGTTAATCCGCTTTCCTGCAATTGCCGACAATCGCAAAAAAAGTTTTCTGATGTTCTATCCCGGCCAACGTCTGCAGGTCAAAACACGCGTGTGTTTCTGAAAATACATTGCATTAGGAAAGGCTAATAAATAAATGCTCATGAAAATAAATTAAATACATCAAGTCTCAAGCATATACTTGAACCTATAACCCAACATATCATGTTTACGTTTAATATGGGCTCGCTAACAGAAGGCGCAGTATATGAGGATGAATCTTAACTTTGGAGCTTTCGTGACTGCAGGAATTATTCTTTGGTTCTTTCGGTAAAGTCACGTATAAATAAAAAATAATAAATTAAAACAAATTCTTTTTTCTTTTTTATTTATACGTGACTTTACCGAAAGAACCAAAGAATATATGAGGATGGTCAAGAATGACAGTGGCAGCCAAGTAGCGCGTCCGATTTCCACTGAAGCTATGGGACGATGAAATCGGCTCGCGTGCAGTACAGGGCGCTATGTGGATTGTTCAACCATCGCAGGACCTTGATTTGAAGCTTTCGTGACTGCAGGAATCCATACTCTTTGGTTCTTTCGGTAAAGTCACGTAGGTAGAAATAAAATAAAATAAATCATGACGTTTCGATTGCAACACAAGCGACCAAAGAGCATCACAGGACCGTGAGAGATGTCGATGGCTTGGAGAGGCCTTCATCCAGGCACTGATGGTGTGTGTGTGCAGATGGGTGGGATTCGAGCACCCGGAGTTCCAGGGCCAGCAGTTCGTGCTGGAGAAGGGCGACTACCCCATGTGGCAGTCATGGAGTGGTAGCTGCGCTTACCGCACGGAGCGCATCCAGTCATTCCGTCCCATCAAGTCCGCGGTACGATATATATCTCTCTCTCTCTCTATATCTCCCCTCATTGCCCACCCCATAACTCCCCCTCTATCTATCTCCTCCTTCCTCACTCTTACATGCGCATAAAATATAACGCTGGACCTGTTAGTGTGAAACGTGGAACTGCTAAGCGTTCGGACAGGCGTCTAAATTATGTGTGTAGTCCTGCCTACGTGACTTTAACGAAAAAACCTAAGAATATGAATCCTTGCAGTCACGAAAGCTTCAAATCTAGAATTAGTCCTGCCTCGTCTTATCGAGAATGATAAGTTGGGTTGAGGCTGGGTATAGTGCTTGGATTGGCGATCTCCGTGTGCAACAGGTTGCTATAGGCTGCTGCGGGCTGTTGAAGAGATGGGATAAAACTAATGCGCAGTGGCCGGGACTCCTGAACACACGGAAGAAACCGGGAATGCGTCTGGGGTAACGGCACTGAAATTATCGACTGTTCAATGAAACCCCGCTTCGACGACGGGTTACTTATTTGTAAGAAAACAGAACTCGCCAGACCAGACGAAAATAATCATATACCCTCGTTTACCTAGGAAAGCCCGTCTGAACGCCCATGCTCTTTTCAGGAGGGTTCTGTGTTTCGGTGTTTGACTTCGTATGAGCGTAAACCGGAGAGCCCAGAATAAAAACCCGCAACGCATAGCAAGTGAAAAACACACTCGGCACTGCCATCTCCTGGTCACACCTCGCAGCCTCACGCAAAACAACACCTGACCAGCCCTGGTGGTCACCCATCCAAGCAGGCGTATGAATCGGGTGCATGCATTTCTGCTTAGATTCAGAGGTGCAAGGAGGTCAAGCTCAAAGGAGACGGGCACATGGTTACATCAGTATGACTTGTGATTTCCTTTGCTTTTCGTGGATAAATTACAATAAAAACAGCTAACATTTCTAACGTAGCTCGACACGGCGCGGTTTGGTTTGAATTGCAGGATGGGAATTTTAACGCTTCTCTTTATTACGTCCCCTTCCCCTCTCCAAATGCCTACCATTCCACTCCCACAGAGGCCTCCGCACCTTGGAAAGCGGCGTTGGGGAAGGGGGAGGGTTGGGGGGGTATTTAGGTTCTGCCATTGATACCGGTGTAGTCAGTGGAATTGCGTATTTACTGACATATTCTTTGGGTCTTTCGGCAAAGCCACGTAGATAGAACAAATAATAAAATGATTTAAAAAATAACAATATCGTTATGAATTCCTGCAGTCACGAAAGCTTTTAGTCAAGATTTATTTACTGACAGTTGAATTTGGCCTCCCCTCCCGTTGGTTTTTTCTCGTGCTTTTCTCAATGCCTCCCCCTTTCCGTGCCGCGCAAGTGCAGGCCCACGGGGAGAGCAAGGTGGTCCTGTTTGAGGGAGAGAACCTGCAGGGTCGAAAGGCGGAGCTCTGTGACGACTGCCCTTCGATGCAGGCCATGGGCTGGAGCACGCGGGAGATCCAATCCGTCAAGGTCAACAGTGGCGCGTAAGCATCCCCACCGCACCCACTTGTGTGTCCACCCACAGAGACAGCGCAGACATCACTCTTACTGCAAATGAGGTCATTCTAGCAGACGAGGCTATCCTGGTCTCTTTGAGTTATCATCCGGTTAAACAAAATACACTTGGCGCATCGATTCATCCGTTGGCGTCATCTGGTCGAACACCATATGAGACGAGGCTCCAAAGAAAGCTGTCTCTGGTGTGGACCAATCCGTTTCAAAGACAATGCATACATTACCAGAGTGTTGTTCTTTGTTTGCATTTGACTGCAGGTATTGTGGTTAATGTAGACATGATTCCTTGCAAAAGGTGTCAGTTTTGTTGCCAGAAAAAAGGGGAAACCCCCTATTAGTATGTAAAATAAAGTTTTATTTTTCAAATCCTAAGTACCCGTCTCGCTCATAGGTCAGAGCGCTGATCTGGACCCGAGTTCTAATCCATGCAGCCGTCCCTAATTAAACCAGGTGTACGAGTCGATGGGCTCAGTCTCGCCAAAAATGATTGCCCACACGTAGAGCATTAAATATCAATTGGCTGTGCACTAAAATTTTACTAAATACCATCTCTGAATTATAATTATTGGTGTGACGATCATTACACTTTGGCATAGCGGTGGGAACATACTGCCGCGACGACATGGACCAATAGAAACGTGAAAGGATCTCAAGAGCTAATGTTTAGCTTCCGCCGATCTCAAGAGGTTGGGGCGCATTCCAGGTCATTCGATCAAAGGCGCTAATGATTCATCATTGCCGTGAAATTATTTCGAAGCGCTGCTGCATTTGGATGCTTTACACATTGAGATTGATCGTGTTTCCATGAGAGTTATCGCGTTAAACAAGGCAATTAACGCAATCAAGCGGTAAACAAAAGACAAGCAGTAAACAAGCAGTAAACATAAGGAGTAAACTTGAAGTAAACAAACATCAATCAACGCGAGGCCGCGTTCTTTGTAATTGTACTTTTCGCGCACTCGTGCCTACGCGTGATGTTTCCCAGATGTTACTGAAAGCATCAACTCAAATGAAGCTTGCTCATGCTGTTCGGGTCGATCCAGATACAAGCACTGATTGTATCTGCATGCTCTCACTCTCCTCTGCGTCCGGACCTCTCTTCCTTCAAACTCTGACCCTGAACTCCTAAACAAACTTCGCCTACCCCCACCTCATACTACGGCCGAAATCTCTTAACTTGTAACCACCCTGGCCCACCCAATTCGATCAACGCTACTGCACACTCCCTCCATCCACTACACCACCCACGCACCACACCCACCACCCACATTGATCCACCCACTCTATTCACCCACCCCGACAGATGGGTTGCGTACCAGTACCCGGGATACCGCGGATACCAGTTCGTGTTGGAGCGCGACCGCCACAGTGGGGAGTACAAGAGCTACAGCGAGTTCGGCAGCCAAGCGCACTCTGGCAACATCCAGTCCATCCGCCGCATTCAGCATTGAATCGGACTGGACAGCCCCGCCAGTTGCACTCACCCCTGTGCCCTCTACCTACACCTGCCCGCATGGGGTGGGTGGTGATCTTCCCAAGTTCAAGGCACCCTGCCGATACACCTGCCAGAGTTTGTGGTTGATCACCTCCCTGAGTCCTGCCTGCCCGGTATTACTGCTTACATATCGCGACTTAAAGCATGCGGTCACGCGAGTTCAGTTCAGCCCCCTTAATTTAATTTGGACCAGAGCCGACAGAGGCGCAGTTATCTTTTGCGAGATCTGGAATAAAGAGCACACGAGGCTTAGACAGCCTACAGGTCGACTTCTCATCCGCAAATGATTTGCATTCCGCACAATACGAGATCAAACAAAAAAACATTATTCTCTCCATGGACTAGAACTATCAATATCTACACCTTCATTATCCGGAGTACACCGGCATCGCCAACTGCCTGCCTATCTCCCACGTGGGGGTATCTTGAATGTCAAATCAGATTCACTTGAAACACCAAACGTGCCTAATTATGGTGCAACTGCCTCATTAGTTTGAATCTCAGTTGCATCTCTCGTACACAAATAACACAACAGAACACTCCACGTAGCATGGATGGAATGTCTAACGCCATCACATGTAAGGTGCTTATTGACTGTTACGTGGTTTGCATTTGTTCCTTGGGATGATGAATGTCAAGATATTAATGCGTTCGTGAAGTTCAGGCGTTTTACCTCCCTGCAGAACAGAACTCGCTGTGCGGATGGCATCTCATTATCTTAAACTTGAACGATCAAAAGCACCCACACCCAATGCACGCAAAGCTTAAGAGCACAGCGAACCTTATTTATAAACACTCCTGGTGCAAATGCAGAAATGCAATGAATAGCGGCGAATTTTTGCACGGCTCCAATTAAGCAAATATAACGCTTCAACGTAATTGGTAGCGGGCGATAGTACGAACTGCTGTGTCAAGACACTAAAAACGTGCAAGAAATCCCGTCAGTGTTGCATGTCACGCGTTAGTACCATGCTTGAGTGCTGCTTGCAAGATATTTCTGTTATAACACGTGATGCTTAATAAAGTTTTATCAACTCACAGCGGATGAGTTTCACATCATTTCAAATGTTTAAGTGTACATTTGCTAAAAATCATGTGTTGTTGGTTGCAGATGGGAAATCCTTTTTGCACAGAACAATTTGTTTAATCATAGTGTAAACATTCTGGTATTTCAGGACAAGTGCTTCCAGACAATATCCAATTATTGTGCCATAATACGGACCACACCTGATCATTGATCCACGAGGAACATTTTCAGTGGCAGGCCGCAATAAAAATGTGGGTTTAGCACATCCTATATACATCCCTGGAGTGTGTAATGTTTTTATTAAACCCGACAGAATCCAAAAATAGTCAAACCCATGTCAACAATGTTATAAAACAGAACATTATTCAAGCTTCAACATCTTTCCACCTTATTTCATACACACTTGACAACTGTGTCCGATAGTGCAGCCGAAAATGTCAACAATCTGTTTTGTCAAAAGTGTAAACATTATGCATCTCTTGCGTCACTTGAGTGGTTATGTCACGTAGGAAGGTGTCTCAGGCTTTATAACCTCCGGCACTCAACGGACTATGCTCCAAGGGCATTGCAGATGCACATACGCTACTTAAGTCGCGAAAACATGTATGCAAGCATACAATCCCATCACGAAGGAGAAATTGTTAATTTTTGGCTTTCTTTTGCCACCCTGCTGAAAATAAATTGCAGAATAATGTGCTCGTTCCAAATTACAACCACTTCTTGCACTGACAGAGCATCTCCACTCCTGACTTTCACAACCTCACCAAAGCTGTAGAAACACATTTTTGACATCTTGCTAGAACTTTATGGTTCCATCCTAATCCCGCGACTTGGTTTCTGCAGCGATATTCTGCCATGCAAAGAGGTAATATGGTTTTATTATACTAGGTAGGCAGTGGCTAATTCAACCAGACATCCAATTACTGCCAGGGTTTTTTAGGGTAGGACTATCAATTTGGTTATGAATGTAAAACGTCTTTTAGAACCATATGCCTTGATCCACATTTTTGGTGTCACATTAACAATACGGCTATATACAAGTATGATTGTCTCAGCCCATCAAATACTTCCACTAACCAGTTCCCAAAAATCATCAAATGTGTTACCACAGTCACAGCTTATGTGCCACTACCGCTACTTTCTTTGGTCCGGATAATATTACAGTTAACGACTGTGTTTTAGACAGCTTAAGTGCCGGGAACCTTGCATAGAATTAAAACAGCACTAATGAGGACATCATTGAGAGTGCATCACAACGCTCTAGGTCCTCTCCTTGAAGAGCCAGCGTTGGCGGGTGTTGCCGTCACAGGTCCGCAACAGCGGCAAGGGTCCAGAGTTGGGCTGTTCCACTGCCTCCAGGCACTTCTGGGTCAATATGTGAAAGATGGAGCCATCCTGATACAAAAAAGACAAATATGAAAAAAATGCACATCGTCAAGTATTTTTTTTTCTTCTCAAACCTTTTAAATATATTATAGCCCATTCGGTTAACTGAAAGTAATTAATCTATTTAAAATGTGCATAATGCCAGCAATACAACTTTTAAACAATACTACCACCCCAGCCAAGTATAATACACATATAATTAAAGCTTTACAACACAGATGATCTTACCTCCCTGAAGTCAAACTTCTGGTTTTCTGTAACAGGACTGTTCTTGGAGTGACAATAATACATGGTAAGGTAGTCCATTCCATTGTCAACGGCTGCACATGCTTCAGGCTGCCGTGTGTTGTACCGGATCTCTTGCTCAGACGTGTATTCGAAAAACTATACACCAGAAACAGAGACAGCAGCTCACTTATAAATGTACAGCGTAAGCCCTTACAAAACATATAGCTTATGCTGTGTAAAGAGTTATTCTGTCTTTTGGAAAGTTGCAGAGAATAACAGATTAAAAATAAACTTGCCTGGTTTTGGCCCATGCCATGGCATCCGTATAAGATGATCCTTTGTCCCGTCACCTGATTCTCATCTGGAGGGTTGTAGTCAAAGCAATAGTTGCTCAGACCCCGGTTTTTCAGCTGGTGAAAATAAAAATTGGGTGGGTTACTAAGCTTTAATACAAGTGAGAACATTACTTTATGATACATTAAGGCAATTCACAACAATAACTTGGAAAATAAAAGTTCGCCCTACCATGCCAAATTTCCCTGGCCGGTCCTCTGGCACGTGAATGTCAGGGTAGACGTTCTCCAGGAACCACTTGAAAGATTTGCACTGCAGCCGCTCCCGCAGGTTCTTCCGTTCTGTCACATCGCCAAATGGCTCCTGTCAATGACAAAGACAAACTGTGAAGCAACAGAAGGCCATGGACAAGTGCATCGCTATGCAGATGGTAGGTTTTAAGGTTATTTCAAACCTTATCTAAAGTAGCTCAAACATGATATTATCTAACACAACTGATTGTAGTCATGCAAATGAATAGCGAGTTGTTTGTTTTATTTCCTTCCACCCGAATAACACAGAGGAGTTTTAACACGTAGGCTTTCGCGACCAATATCATCCATAAGATGTTTTTGGGTTAGATCGCGTAAATATATAAATGTGTCGGTAAGACTTCTCCACAGATCTGGCTGTCGCCTGATGAAGCTAGTTGTAATTACTGGCGAAACGTCGTACTCAGATTGTAAATGCTGTGGCTTGGCTCTCCAACACACCGGTGTGCTGTACTAGTGACGAATTGGCATGTTCTGTTTACGTGACAACCCTTACTAGTTGGCTGTGTCGGGTGGTGGCGGGTTTTAACGACACATTTATATATTTACGCGATCTCACCCAAAAACCTTTATTATGGACAGAGGAGCTTTTCTTCAGCTTTACATGCAACCTGAGGCACAGAGTGGAAAACTTAATTATTAAGCCATGTTAGGCTTTAAGAATCTCTACAGAATGAGCACGTTTTATGCAGGCACAAATAACCAAGTCAAAGCAATGTGCTTTTCATACGTTGGATACCGCCATTCAAAATAAATTAAAAGGTGATCAAGTAATCCCACTGCACAATGTGTCTTGTATAAAAAAAAACACAAACATTGCATTTGGCACAACGTTACCATTCTGGCATGTGGGTTTCTGTGGTAGTACAACTCCTTGTAGCCATCCATCCAGACCTCAGCGGCACGTACACTGTTGGCCAGTGCTTTGCTGCGCGAGTACGGCGCCTGCTTGGGGAATACGTGTCCCACATGGGAGCAGGGGTGGACCTCCAGGGTGCCACCGCACTGCCAAATCTGCAGGCAAAAAAAAGCAGCATGGCGAGATATGGTCAAACAGCCCCTATGACCCGCAGGGCATGGGGGAGGCCCTCATCCAGGAGTGGTTCGATAAAGGGCCAGGCATTGACACGCGTTCACAACTGCATGCGCAATTGATTAAATAAAACACAGGAAGATGAATGGCCCGTGCATATTTTACCCGGAATGAAAACTCCAAGTTCTCTCCACCCCAGACTTCCATTCCAGTGTCGTATGTTCCCAGGTAATCAAAATATTTCTTGCTCACAGCAAACAGCCCACCCGCCATCGTCGGGGAGCTGCATCAGAAAACATATGGAGAGATTTGATGGCTTTTGCTTCAAATTACAACACTGATCAAACATCAGTTACTCAAAAAATTATATCAAAACTTAAAATTATTTTGAAACGTAGTGTTTACAAGATCCGGACTTCCACAAGTGCATAATTTCCATTTCACAGATATTTCAAGAGAAATGTTGTTTAAAAATCCCTCGCTATTCCCTTCTCAATAATAAACAAAAACAGCACATTAGATTCTGGAATTATTTTCAGACTCAGAATCATACTTTTTACTGTCTTGGTAGACTTCGGGCTATACAATTATATATACAGTATAGTTATACTGCCAGGGAAGACATTTAACTCATTACTGTATTGTGGATGTGAGGTGTGGCCAGGAGATGGCAGTGTTGATTATCACCCCTCTTGTAAGTGTGAGTTTTCTCCCACGTTAAACATCCCAATGCAGGGCACACGAGACAAAATAATACTGAGACTCAGTGAGCCTGTTCTGAGTAAATTGATGGTCATTATTATCATGCTGAGGAAATACTTATCTATACTGCTCAGCAAACTTAAACAGTAAAGTTTGCATACGATTCAAGAAAACTCAAGAGACTCGGGACAGCATTGTTTACATCCGGCTTAGTGACAGGGCAGCTTGCGCCATACCGTATGACATCGATGGGCGATTTTCGACGTTTCTGCTCGTGTTCCGGCACCGTGTGCCACGTGAACACGAGGCGCCAGTCGAAGCCACCAATCTGCGGCTCGCCCGCATTTCCCATGTACTCGAATGTGTTCCACTCAATGACGTCGATCACCGGGCACACCACAGCCGACTCCTCCTCGGCTATCCTGCATCGCGGCAACATCAGGCACGGGGTACAACACCACTGTAGGCGCAGAAATCAAAAATACCCGTTAAGCATACTTATTTGAAACATTGTCTGCTCAGATACCTGCACAGCAGAGAAAGAAAACGCAGGAGTAGATACCAATATATTTAGATTCTTGGTCACTCGCATCTATGGACAATCATTTTAATGTCAACATTCTTCATAAGGCATGCTCCTAATAAAGTTAAAGTGTTATCTAATGAATCCTAACTTTAACTGCAAAGTCTATTTCGGAATCAGCCCTCATTAGGGTTTATAGAGCAACAGAATAAACTACTTACTAGAAACAATTAAAGTACTTTATAAGTGAGAAACATGCATTGGAAGTGAGAGGTACAAGTGGCTTTTGCTGAGCAAACACCAGGCAACGCATAGAGAAAAAC